TTTTCTTGGCTCATCCAGAAACTCTACAGAGAAACGTAACTGCTGTCACATCTGGTCAAGACCTTGAACATATTGTCAAACCCAAAGTCTTCTTTCCCCCCTCCCTTTTGAGGAATCTGAGCTGAAACCTATTTCTTGGTCATTGAGGAAGCTCTCAACCAGGTTTCAGTTTTATCCATGTGTTAAGTGTCAGTATTACTCTGTGAGTAGTAAAGGATCATTGGAATTGAAGGGCCACTGAGAAAGCTGTGTTATTGAAGGAGAGAGCCCTGTGTAAAAATTGAAAGGCCCAGTAGCTCTTTGTAATATCTCATTCCCACCCATTGTTGAGAAGCTAGAAGAAGACTCAAGGCCATTGTGCCACTGCCAATGGATAAATACCCCTCATCTTGAGGATTATGTTTATTTTTGTTTTTCAGAAAGTATGTATTCTTTTAGGTACCTTTCAAGTGTCATTGAAAGTCAAAACAAAATATATTAAAAGCCTTTATTTTTATTTTATGTAGTTATGTACAGTTGATCCTTGGACAACGCACAGACTAGGAGTGCCAACCCCTGCACAGCCAAGTCCATGTATAACTTTTTTTTTTTTTTCAGAGCTTCTTTATTTATTTTGAGAGAGAGTGGGGGAGGGGCAGAGAGAGAGGGATAGAGAAAGAATCCCCAGCGGGCTCCACGTTGTTAGCACAGAGCCCTACCTGAGGCTGCAACTCACAAACCTTGAGATCATAACCTGAGCTGAAATCAAGAGTTGGATTCTTAACCGACTGAGCCATCCAGGCACCCCAGAAGTCCATTTACAACTTTTGACTCCCTCCAAATGTAGCTATTAATAGCCTATTGTTGACCAGAAGCCTTATCAATAAGATAAATTATTAATATATATATTTTCATGTCACAGGTATCATATATTCTTACAATCAAGTAAGCTAGAGGGGTGCCCGGCTGGCTCAGTTGGTAGAACATGTGACTGTTGATCTCAGAGTTGTGAGATTGAGTCTCATGTTGGGTGTACAGATTACTTAAAAAAAAAGCTAGATAAAATAATATTAAGAAAATCATAAGGAAGAGAAAATATGCTTACAGTACTGTATTTATCAAAAAATTCACATATGAGTGGATCCATTCAGTTCAATCTCATGTTTTTCAAGGGTCAACTATAATTATTGTTATATGTTTGTATTGTAGGATTATGTATTATGTATTTGTATATTATGTAATTGTGTTTGATATTATCTAAATACCTAAAACAGTGTTTTTGTAGCATATGAATAATGCTTATGTAAAACTTTGATTTTGAAAATGTTATATTGTTCCCGTTGCCCATGTTTGGCTCTGGTGTGTGTGCCACTTATATGCTGTATTTAGATTGGAGGGGTTTTCTTGGGTAAAATTTTTTTGATTCTCTGTTGACTTGGCCAGGAAGTACACATGCAGTGCTAAATGCCCGTTTGTCAGAGAGTAGACGGATGAAAAACCAACCACATCTCCAACATGGAGTTAAGTGGATGGAAGATTAAAAATCCACATAAATTGACCATATCAAGGGATAAGCTGAAAGTGGAGTAAGATTTGATTGTTTCTGCTTTACAGAAGGCTCTTTGCCTGTTTTGGTGAAACCCATTGTTTCGTGTATATGTTGATAAATTTATAGGGGCGCCTGGGTGGCGCAGTCGGTTGAGCGTCCGACTTCAGCCAGGTCACGATCTCGCGGTCCGTGAGTTCGAGCCCCGCGTCAGGCTCTGGGCTGATGGCTCGGAGCCTGGAGCCTGTTTCCGATTCTGTGTCTCCCTCTCTTTCTGCCCCTCCCCCGTTCATGCTCTGTCTCTCTCTGTCCCAAAAATAAATAAACGTTGAAAAAAAAAATTAAAAAAAAAATTTATAATATATGGGATGTTTACCTTCACATAAAGTTTTACATTTTATAGGATTTTGTTTTAATGTATAGCTATATTTCTTATTGCAGAATGTTTCATTTCACTGTAGTTTGCTTCTAATTAAATTGTAACAATATGCCATTTCATGGAAAAAATATTTGCAAGTAGTAGTTTCATAAAAAACGGTTGAGTAGATACTATTATTATCACCGTTTTACAGAAGAGGAAACTAAGGGACATGAGATAAATAACTTGCCCAAGGTCAAGTGTTGGAACCAAGAGTCAGATTATTTATCTGTTAGTCTGACTCCAAGATTTAGGTTCTAAATGACATCACCATGTTCTCTAGGATAGTAGTTCTCAAAGCTCAATCCACAGGCCTCTGGGAGTTCCTGAAACCATTTCAAAGGTCACAAGGTCAAAGCTATTTTAAAAATAATATCAAACATAATTGGCCTTTTATATTGTATTGACATTTGAGTTGCTAGTATAAAAAGAGTGGTGGGTAAAGCTGCTGGCTTCTAGCAGAGATCTAGGTATTAGCACCAGATTATACTAACAGTAGTTTACCGCCATGCACGTGCAGTTAAGGGAGGAGAAAAAACCAGTTTCACTTAAGAATGCCCTTGATAGGGGCACTTGGGTGGCTCAGTCAGTTAAGCAGCTGACTTCAGCTCAGGTCATGATCTCATGGTCTGTGAGTTCGAGCCCTGTATCGGGCTCTGTGCTGACAGCTCGGAGCCTGGAGGCTGCTTCAGATTCTGTGTCTCCCTTTCTCTCTGCCCCTCCCCTGCTTGCACTCTGTCTCTCTCTGTCTCTCAAAAATAATAAACATTAAAAAAAATTTGTTTTAAATGTCCTTGATAAAGTGGTAAAAATGGAAGTCACATCTTTTTAATATTCTGCAGAAGTAATTGGAAGCACATGTAAAACACTTACGTTGAATTCCAAAGTACCATGGTTGTCTCAAGGAAAAGCATTTGTGCCATTGTTTGAGTTGTGAACTGCACTACAGGCTTGTTTCATGGACCAACTTGTTACTTGAAACAACGACTGACAGATTAATGGTTTTGTACACTTGAGTGTTTGGCAAACAAAGTAAGCCTGTCGCCTCAAAGAAAAGAATTGGTAGTAGTTTTTTGCCAATAAGATTTGAGCTTTCAAGAGAAAATTAGAATTTTAGAAACCTTGGTTCTGCCACCATGAGCCTCACAGCTACCCAGTACTTGACTTTTCTGAGAAGGTGAGATGGGTGATAAAGTTAGCAGATGTGATGTTTTAATAATAAAGTGAACATGTTAACCTTTGGGAGACTGTGTAACTCAGGGACAGTGTTCCCAAGATCCCTTCCCAGCTGAAGATGGGTATTTACATAACACACTATAAAAGTGTTAAGATTTCATATTACAAATAAATTTCAAGAAACTATCATTATTGAAGTTTTGATATTAGTATCAAAATAACACTACAGTTATTTGAGAAGACTATTAAATTACATTTCCCTTTTCTAACTATCTGATGAAGGCAGGCCTTTAAATATTTCAAGTTCAACAGTGTACTGACAACAGATTGAATGCAGAGCAAATGCAAAAATCTATTATGCTAGACATTAAAAAGATTTTTTTTAATGAAAAAGATTTTTCATTAAAATGTTAGTTTATTATAAATGAATTAATCTTAGTTGCTCAGTTTTCATTGTTTTTATATGGTAAATATTAATATATATAATCCACATAAACAAAATGCTCTTTGGGTTTTTTTTTTTTTTAAGAGAACAAAAGCCTAAGAATTGGTGCTGTAGAAAAATGTACTAAGAAAGTGAAGTACATGTGAGGAGAGAAATTGAAATTGCATCTTTCTGAAAGTTCTTTTGGTGGTTACACTTAGTTGACTAAGAAGCAATTTCTTTAGTTTTTATTGTTCTTAATTAGATCTCAGATGTATTCAAATGAACTTAGTCTTTCTTTCTCAAGTCATAAGTTAGACATTTAAGTGTATAATACTCCTAGTGTTTACTAAGGTTAACGTGAAAATAATGTGATCATTTACTTGAGGATTAGACCTTTATTATAAGCTGTGCTCATAGCCTTTCAGGAGTATGATAAATGTTTATTACTTGACTACTTAATTGCATGATGTCTTTTAAAAAAATTATTTTAATGTTTAATTTTGAGAGACAAAGTGCGCACGTGCAGGCATGCATGAGTGGGGGAGGGGCAGAGAGCAAGGGAGACACAGAATCCGAAGCAGGCTCTGGGCTGGGCTCCGAGACCCCAATGGAGTGCTCGAACCCACAAACCCATGATTGAGCTCAGATACTCAACCAACTGAGCCACCCAGGCACCCTTTGTCTGTCTTCTTAATTGAACTCTTCGTGGAGTCTGTGGACTTACTTCACTAACGAGAATTTGGTAGATGTGCCATGTCTGAGGGCCTCTGGATGGTCTGTTTACTCATAGTAGGAGCAGATGCAGAACCAAGTTCTATTCTTAGGCCTGCCTGAAGGGTTTGGTGAATCAATACCAAAGCTAAATATCTGAATGTATGTTTTTCTTGAATATCTCTGCAGGATGACGTAGCTTTGCCGAAGACTTAGAAGCTAAGCAGAAAATGAGCTTAACATCCTGGTTTTTGGTGAGCAGTGGAGGCACTCGCCACAGGCTGCCACGAGAAATGATTTTTGTTGGAAGAGATGACTGTGAGCTCATGTTGCAGGTAATTGCATCAAACTTCTGTGCCTCCACTCAAAACCCGCGACTGGTGTAAAATGTGTCCACTCAGAACCTGGGACTGGTATAAAATGTGTCCACTCAGAACCTGGGACTGTGTATAAAATGTGTCCACTCAGAACCTGGGACTGGTATAAAATGTTTTTCTGTTCCATTGGAGAACAACACTACATGGATTTGAACTTTCTGACCCTTCCTCTTTTAGCTCCACCTATCAGTTTAATTCATTTTTTCCCTCTTGAATCCTCTAAAAATAAGTTGTAAGTCTTGGGGAATGTATTTTCAAAAGTGAGAGCTCAGAGTAGAGTTTATTCTTAAGTAAGAAGTTTCACATTATATACTTCAAAAATAAGACTTGTAAATAATTCATAAAATTAGCATAGCATGAAGTAAAACTGAATTTTAATCACAGATGTTTCAACAACACTGAAAGTAGTTTCTCTGTTTCTTTTAGAGATGTTCATTGAGATACCTTTCAGTAGTTTGAGCATAATTAAAGATTGTTGGTATTTACTGCATTATGTATAAAGGAGTTACTTTTAAAACAACATTATGTATAAAGGAGTTACTTTGAAGATATCTTTGAGTAAAGTAATTAGCAAAAGAATTGATCTCCAGAGTTTTGAGAATTTGGTTATTTTAATAAGTCCCGATACTTTTTTTTTTTTTTAACAATTTATTTATTTTTGAGAGACAGAGAGAGACAGAGCACAAGTAGGGGAGGGGCAGAGAGAGGGAGACACAGAATCTGAAGCAGGTTGAACTGTCAGCACAGAGCCCGACACAGGGCTCAAACCCACAAACTGCAAGATTATGACCTGAGCTGAAGTCAGACGCTTAACCGACTGAGCCACCCAGGTGCCCCAATAAGTCCTGGTACTTTTGAATAAAGTCTTATCCCCTTATTCTTCCTCCTTTATTTTTTTTTTTTTTTTTGGTTTTGTTTTGTTTTGTTAACAGCCTTAAGCAAATACTTAGAATAGAAATGTTTATTCTGTTAGCCCATTGGTTCTTAACTGGGGCAATCCTGTCTTCCCCTGCCCAAAGGACATTTGACAATATCTAGAGACATTTTGATTGTTACAAGTGATGGGAGGTTGGAGGTGGTTGCTATTGACATTTAGTAGGTAGAAACCAAGAAGCCAAGTGTGCTGCTAAGCATCCTACAATGTACAGCATACTGTCCCTACTCCCCCCACCCCAACACACACTGCAAGGAAGTATGTGGCCCTGAATGTCTGCAGTACTGAGATTGAGAAACCCTGCATTTTCCCTAGAAAAATCAAACTTGCATGTGTTTGTAAACATGTTTATTTTAAAATTAGGGAACTTACTTTATAGTTTGAAGCAATAAAAGTAAAGCCACCATACAGCTATGTTAGTTTGGTATATAAATGCAGTATGTAAGTATAGCATATGAGTAAATTGCATATATAATGACACCTCAAACAAATTCACTGCGAGAAATAGAATAATACAGAGATCTGCTTCTCAGTGAGATGGAGTGTTGAGAGTGGCAACTGAGAAAAAGGCAGTGATGATTCTGTTTGGATAAAGGCCTCCTGGAACTGGGCCATATCTTAGGTTCAAATAGGGGGAGCTCATTTATCAGAGAATGGAAGTGGTGCCTTCTATGTGGCATCTCTATCAACCAGCCAAGAAATGTGGGAATGGTTGTTCCGGAGCTTCCTACATTGAGATAAGGAATATGAAGAGACGAGACTGACAAGGTCATAGTCTTCCTGGACTATGTATAACAAATGGAAGTTGTCTGACAGTAAGTGAGGTGGGCAGAGAAAGCTGTGAGTCCAAGGAGACCAAGGCGGGTTCCAGTTCACAGGACACAGTATCAGAGTGGAAAGAGTTACACAGAGAAGGAACTTTGCAGAGGCAATCCCTGAGTATGAGGTTGAGTACTGATCCCATACAAGTGAGGAAACTAACCAAAGGCAGTGGGGAAAAAACACTCAAAAGGATTAGAGTTAACAATGTGGGACACTAATAGGGTCAAGAATGGTGCCTGTCTTAACAGCTAAACTGGAAAACCTTCTGAGTCACACACAGGGCATTGATCTCTACCCCCTCAGTAGTGGGGAGTCGTTTACCATAGACTGAGTTCTAGCCTCATCTAAATCTTAAAAACAGTACCCAAAAAGGTCACACTCTTTTCAAGTAATTTAACTGTGTCCCATAACAAAGTTCAAGAATATGTATAGGAACACAGAAATATTTAACACCCTCAAAAGGCAAAATCTATGGTGTCTGGCATGCAATAAAAAATCACCAGTCTTGTAAAGAAGCAGGGAAGTGTGGCCCATTATAAAGACTGATGATAAAAGATGTTTTGTTTCTGAAGAGTTTGGCTAAGTTTAGCAAAGTCTGACAAAATAAAAAAAAAAAAAGTGGTAAAACGGTAAAATCTTGAAGAAGATTTCAAAACTTATTATAAAGCTAGCGTCGCTGGCTTTTATAAAGGTAGACATATAGACAAGTGGAATAGAATAGAGAGTCCAGAAATAAACCCCTATATATCTGTAGCTGTTGTGGTTTGAGTTGTGTCCCCTCAAAAAGGTATATTAAAGTCCTAAACTTCCATACCTATGAATGTGACCTTATTTGGAAATAGAGTCTTTGGGGATGTAACCAAGTTAAGATAAAGTCATTAGGGTAGACTCTAATCCAGTATGACCTCATATCCTTATAAGGGAAGGAAAAGACAGACACAAAAGGAAAATAGCTATGTAAAGATAGAAACAGAGATTAGAATTATGCTACCAGAATCCAAGGAACACCTGGATCTACCAGAAGCTGGAAGAGGCAAGGAAAAATAAGATCCTCCCCTAGAAGTGTTGGAAGAAGTATGGCCCTACCAACACCTTGACTTTAGACTTTTATTTGTTTATTTATTTTTAATTTTTTAAATGTTTATTTTTGAGATGAGAGAGCGAGCAAGCGGGGAAGGGGCAGAGAGGGGGACAGAGGATCTGAAGCAGGCTCTGTGCTGACAGCAGAGAGCTCAATGCAGGGCTCAAACTCACAAACCATGAGATCATGACCTGAGCCAAGGTCGGATGCTTAACCAGCTGAACCACCCAGGCACCCCTGATTTTAGACTTTTAGAGTCCAGGCTATGAGAGAATTAACTTGTGTTGTTTTAAGCCACCTAGGCACCTAGTTTGTTATGGTACTCCTAGGACACCATTACAATGGCAATTGAGTTTTTAGAAGGCTGTTAAATTTATTCAGTGGAGCTAAGAATGACTATGGCAGAGGAAGCTGGGGACAGCTGGATTTCCAGATACAAAAGAATGAAGTTGGACCCTTGCTGCATACCACATGTAAAAATTAACTCAAAATGGATCAATGACCTAAATATAAGAGATAAAGCCATAAAACTCATAGAAGAAAACATAGGGATACGTCATCATGACCTTGAATATGGCGGTGGAATCTTAGGTATGACACGATAGCACCAGCAACAAAAGAGAAAGGTAAATTAGACTTCATTAAAATTAAAAACTTGTGTATATAAGGATATTGCCAAGAGAGTGAAAAGACAACTGGCAGAATGGGAGAAAATATTTGCAAAACTATGTATCTTATAAAGATTTAATATCCAGAGTATATGGAGAATTCTTACAACTCAACAACAGAAAGACAGCAGCCAACTTAAAAAATGAGCGAAAGACTTTACTGGTCATTTCTTAGAAGAAGATACAATAATGCTCAATAAACACATGAAAAGAAGATGCTCGACATCGTTCATCATTAAGAAATGCAGATCAAAACCTCAGTGAGTTACCACTTCACATCTGTTAAGGTGGCTATAATTTTGTAACAAGAGGAAACTGGGCACCTCGGGTGGCTCAGTCTGTTGAGCGTCCAGCTCTTGATTTCAGTTCAGGTCATGATCTCATGGTTTGTGGGTTCAAGCCCTGCATCAGGCTCTGAGCTGGGCGTGGATCTTGCATAAGATTCTCTTTCCCCCCCCCTCTTTGCCCTTCCCCCCACTGTCTGTCTGTCTCTCTCCGTCTCCTTCTCAAAATAAATAAATTAACTTAAAAAAAAAAAAAAGGAAAATGTTGGTGAAGATGCAGAGAAATTGAAATTCTTATATGTCGCTGGTGGGAATGTAAAATGGTGTCAGTGCTGCAGAAAATAGTGCTTCCTCAAAAAGCTGAACATAAAATTTCCATGTGACCAGCAGTTCCACTTTTATATATATACCCACAGTAATTGAAAGCAAGGTCTCTGGGCTCCTGGGTGGCTCAGTTGGTTAAGTGTCCAACTCTTGATTTCAGCTCAGGTCATGACCTTATGGGTCCTGAGATCAAGCCCAATGTTCAGGCTCCATGCTGAATGTGGCACCTGCTTGGGATTCTCTCTCTCCCACAGTCTCTGCCCCTCCTTCTCTCATGCAAGCGTGCGCTCTCTAGAAATAAACTTTTTTTTTTTTAAAGCAAGGTTTCAAACAGATACTTGTATGAATTATACGTACATTATTCACAGTAGTGAAAAGGTGAAAACAACCCACATGTCCGGGCACAAATGAATGGATGAAATGCAGTGTATACATCCACTGGATTATTCATCTGTAACAAGGAATGAAGTTCTCATATATGCTGTAACATAAATGAACCTTGAAAATCTTATGCTAAGTGAAATAAGCCAGACACAAAGGACAAACACTACATGATCATTTCTTTGAAAATAGCTAGAATAGGCAAATTTACAGACATAGGATGAGTTAGAAGCTACCAGTGGCTGGGGGATAGAAGATTAGGGAGTTATTTCTTAGGAGTTACAGAGTTTCTGTTTGAGGTGATAAAAATTTTTTGGAAATAGATAGTGGTGCATAACATTGTGAATGTAATTAATGCCACTGAATTGTACACTTACAAATGGTTAAGATGGCAAATGTTATGCTTTATATATATATATATATAAATTTATATATATATATATATCTCACCATAATGAAAAAAG